GGTGCGGGTGGTGCGGGGAGACGTGCAGGTGAGCTGCACGCGGCTGCGCCTCGTCCTCGCCGACGAGGAGAGACGGAGGCCGAGGTGCCGGTCCCGCCTTTGACCGCGCCTCTCTGACGGGGTTCAGCCCGTCTTCTGTAGGAGATGGGGGAGCTCGGCGCGGCGCCCTTCGAGGAGAGGGAGGAGCGGGCCGCCATCGTGCTGCACCAGCTCTACTCCGCCCTCGGCAGGGCGGGAGAGCCGACTGACCAGCCGAGTGGAGACGCGTCCCCTCCTCCCTCCTCCGCCGGCGCGGCCTCCTCCGCCGCGACGAGCGACGCGGGCGACGCGGCGGACGGCGGCGGAGGCCTGCCCGCGCCGCCGCGCCGGATGCGCAGGAAGAGCTCCTGGGTCGTCCGCGAGAAGGGGACGACCTTCCAGACCCACGCGCGCCAGCGGCCCGTCACGCCGCCGCCCAAGCGGAGGGCGGCGCCGCAGGAGGCTGCAGCGCCCTCCAGCGTGCCGCTCCGCCGCGCTGCAGACTCGCCCTCGGCCGCCCCTCCGCCCCCGTCCGCCCCGGCCGCCGCCCGGCCGCCGCGCCGCGTGACGATGGCGGAGAGCGCGACGGCGGGCCGGCCGGTGGACCGGAAGCAAGTGCGCGAGCTGGCGGCGGTGCTCAGCCGCCGCGCGACCAGCGGCAACCTCGCGGCCGCGCCGCCTCCGCGGCCGCGCGTCGCTGCGGGCCGGCAAGCCGAGGTCAACAAGGAGCTGCGGGCGATGCCGTCGGCGCTGCGGCAGCGGCAGCTCGCCGCCACGTCCCTTCGCTGACCCTTCCCTGACCCTTCTCGGAAGCTTCCTATACAGGCAGCGGCTGCTCGCTTTCACGTGCCGCATCCTGCCAAAGGCGCCGCGGGCGCGAGGCGGTCGAGGCGTGGTGCGGCCACTCGCCGCTCACTCACTCCGGGTGAGGAGCAGGTGCAGCTCAAGGCGGTCGAGGTCTGCTACGACCACCTCGGCCTGGCGATGGCGATCCCGATCGACGTCTCCTTCGCGGAGCTGGCGCTCATCTGGCTGCTGCTCGCCTTCCCGAACGCGCCGCGGAGGGGAGGGCTCGCGCGGCCGCTCCGCCAGGCGGGCCGGGCCTGACCGGCTTGGCGGCCCCGCGGGAGGCAGCCTTCCTTGTCGGTAGATGTATACACGTCTCGCCGCACGTGCAGTGTGTGTTCTGAGGCTGTTTGGGTGTACACGCATGGTGGTCTGATTCGACAGTGCTCGCTTTTCAAAGCAGCGGCGAGAGTGAAAGAGAGAGTGAGAGCGAGTTATGACTTTATTCTCTGCGAAACTAGGACCTCAACACACCTTTGGCCCAGGGCGAGAAGCTGAAGGCGGCGCCGGCGGTGACCGCTTGCGAGGACGAGCGCGACGACTCGCGCTCAAGGGCGCCCCGCCACTAGCTCCCGCCGCCGACGTACGCCTCGTCGAGAGGCCCCGCGTCCGCCGACGCGAGCGCCTTCCCCTCCTCGGCGCCGAACAGGGCCGAGTACCGCCCGAGCAGGAAGCCAAAGTGGTTCGCGCGCACCTTCGTGTCGCGCGTGTAGGTCGCCGTCTGGCGCATGCCGGCGGAGAGGCCGCGCCCCATCTCCTCGGCGGAGGCCATCCACCCGAGCCAGCGGTCCACCGCGGCGGAGCACGCCTCCGCCGCCGCGCTCGCCGCGTGGTCCGTGAGCGGCAGCCTCAGGTCGACCAGCAGCGGGCCGGCGGAGAGGGCCGAAGTCGCCTCCTTGGAGAGAGGCGGCGCCGCGACGGCGCCTTCGATCGACAGCAGCGCCGCCCTGGCCGCCTCCGCCTCCTCCGTGAAGTACGCCTCCGCAAAGTCCTTCCGGTTGCCGCCCTCTGCGAATGCCTCCCGCGTCTCTGGAGAAGGATAGTCGGCCAGCGTCGGGAGCGCAGGGTCGTAGCCAGACTCGGCGCGCGGGCGGTAGTCGATGTACAGGTCGACGCCGCCGTCCGAGACGCCGCAGCTCACGACGAGGTGCGGCACATCCGTCAGCGGGCCGCAGAAGGCGGCGACCGCCCCTCGCGAGACCTCGCCGCCCGAGAGAGTCAGGCCGGAGCACCAAGCCACGTTGGGCGCGCCAGGGCCCTCGTACGAGACAATCTTGCCCGGAGAGCCCGAAACGCCCGTGAAGTCGTCCGCATAGTCCTTGGGCGTCAGGCCACACTGGTCTGCGATCTTTGAGAGCGCCGCCTGCTGCCAGCCAGTCACGATTGACGCGGCACCTCCGACATCTGTGGCCGCGTCGCGAGTGGCCTCGGCATCGACCATGCTGATGCTGGTCGAGCAGCGGGCAAACGTGGGCTGCGGAGGCGTGCGAGGCACGACGAGGCCGAGCGAGAGCGCGGCGATCAGCGGCATGGCGGCAGGCGACCGAGGAGAGGGGCTTCGCGGGTGCGATGAGCTTCTCGCGCGAAGAAGAATTCCTGCACGCGCTTCCCCCTGACCTCCCTTGGGTTGTCCGTTTTCTTTCTTTCTTTTTCCCCGAAATCCGACGCGAATTCTTCTTTCTGAAGGGGGGAACAATCAATCAAGCCGCGCAAGGACAATTCGGCGGCAAACCAAAAGGAACACCGAGATGGTGCCCCGACGAGAGCCGCCGGCCGCTCATTGTGCCGCAGCCGGCAGACCTGCCGCCGACATGGAGCCCTCGCTCCCGCCGATCACGCGGGCCAGCACCACAGGCTCACAGGCCCGCTCGGTGACCTTCGAGCTGTCCAAGGTGGAGGAGCTGCTCGTGTGCTGTGAGGACAACCGAGGCCCGAGTTTTGTCGAAAGGCAGAGCGAATTCGACAGCGAGCGCTTGTCGTGCCCGAATCCAGACAACAAAGATGACCACGCCTGGTACCGCTCTCGCTATTGGAGCGGCGCGGCGGCTATCGCCGTGCTCCTCGTGGCTGCCGGCTCGAGTGCTTGCATCGCCTATTCTGTGGGAAGGCGCCATGGTGCAGCTGGCTGTGAGAGCAGCATTGCGAAATGAGCGTGCGGCAGTATGGCTCGAAGCAAGCACATCTTTGAGGCCGATGAGGGACTCTTCCTTCTGTCAGACGTGATCCACGTGTTTGATTCTCGTTTGCGCGTTGAAATCGCTCAGTCGCGCGGGAGCCGCCGCGGTGTGAGCTCTATTGTATCTGTGGCGTCTTTCGTTATTGTGTCGGTAGTTGACCAGTGTACATTTATCTCGAACGCCGCACCCCTGACTCAGCACCTTCTCCTTCCTCTCTTTGCCTACCTCCCACTGTTCGAATTGTGAGCTCCAAACCCAGGCCCCCCCTCCGCGCGTGGACGTCCCACCGACACAGACACATGCCGACACAACACGCAGTGCAAGCCAACAGACTCGATGGGCTCTCCAGAGCTGCTCAGCGCATCTCCTCCACTCCGAGCTTGTCGTCGCCCGCGACCGCGAAAGGCGCTGGCGCAGCCACCGCCCTGCCAACCACCATACCGGACACGCGCCGTGTGGGTGCCACCGTCCGTCGTCTCCCGCCCCCAACCTCCGCAAGACACACGTCATACTCGCACCATGCTGGCCAAGCGCACGGGTCCGCCTTTCGGCTGCTGGGAGAGGGAGGCGAGCGAACGCAAGAGCAGCTCCTACGCAACGAGAGAAGCAACGGCTGAGTGCTGTGGCGGGACGCTGATGTCTGACTCTGTCCCTCGCCCTCGCCGTTGTTTGCGCCGCAATCTCGCGCGATGCGCGGAGGAGTGCAGCGTGCTGTGCCTCGGCTCGACGGCGGTCCTCCAGGAGGCATTGCACCTGGAGCGGGCGGAGACGAGGTCAGGAGACAGCGACTCACAGAAAAGGGCGAGGGACGCGCCTGTCCTTCGAGAGTGGACAGCTCTCGCTTCAGCACCTCGCTCTCCACCGCACTCCCCGCTTCGAAGGCTTCAAGAGCGGCGCCGTTCCGGAAGTCGGCGTCGGCCCAGACCAGGTGAACCCACTCCTCGCCATCTTCCTCAAAGCCGGCCCGCTCGCCTCCGACGCGGCTCGAGCTGCGCGAAGGCATCCAACGCACATTCGCACCCATGAATCTGTCGCCGTCTACTCCCTCTTGGACGCTGCCCGATTGCGTTCCGGGCAGGCTCGAGCTCCGCGCCTCCGAGTCCATCAAAGACGTCCCGTGCGCATTCGCAAGCACGCGTTGCTCGTCGTCTGCTCCCTCTTGGAAGCATGGCTCTTGGGCGCCGGCCAGGCTCGAGCTGTGTGCCTCCCAATCCCCGCACGAGGCCATCCGACTCCACGCCAACGCACCACGCACGCTGCACGCACACGCACACACTGGGCACACGCACGCACAAGGGGCTCGCGCTCCCGCCTGCCTTCGAAGTCACTCCGGGGACGCGCGATTTGACATCCTTGATCGGCCGCGAAATTTGTTTACCTATACACAACGATTGTGTGTTTCTTTCTTCTCTCTCTTCTTCGATTTCGACACGGAGCGCTTTCAGGCATTCAGGGCGGCGGCGCACTCGCTCGGGGACAACGCGACCGTGATCGCCGCCACCGACCGCCGCACGAGGCCGGCCTCTTTCTTTGGCGGGCCTCTTCGCTCTTGTCACCAGTGCGTGCGCGAGACGGAGACTCCATGGAAGATCACGAGTCTCGCGGCAAGCGCCGTGCGCCTCAGAGAAAGAAATCGATCGGACCCGCATCCGCCCCCCCCCCCCCCTCCCGGGGGGGCGCCCAGGGCCTGGATGTGTGTTGAGGTTGATGACCCGGCGACCGCCTCGGCTCTCTCTCTCTCTCTCTCTCTCTCTCTCTCTCTCTCTCTCTCTCTCTCT